ACTGTCAATAATACTGTATGGATGTGTACTTTTTGCTAATCACCTGAGTTCTTGTGGTGCCCGGATCCTCATTTGTGCTTTCTGATAGTAGTTGTGTCAGTAGAGATGCACAGACGGTTAGTTATCTAATTACATTCCTGAAGAATGGGGATCAGTGAGCATCTCAGAGCATTTACTCAAAAGGGTAAATATTAAGGATTAATTTGCAATAAAAGCAAAAGGATAGGGGAAGTCATAGAAGTCTAAATGTATTAAATTCTTGAGGTCTGCCTCAGTCTGAAATTGAAGATGTAAGTCAAAGAATATTACTGGAGATGAATATTTCACACAGTTCGAGACAAGTATCACAAGCCAAGGTGAAGCTGAGGTGTAGCTGGTAACCTTGATTTCTCATCAAGGTTGATGAGAAATCATTATGAACACTGTATTAATATAAAAAGGGCCAAAGAATGAGAAGTACCCTTTGTGCAGAAGGAACGAAGCAAGCAGAAAACTGAAGAAACAGTTATTTAAAACCTGCGTACCGAAGGTCAAAGCCATGTAGCTGGTTAGCTCAGCTGTCACAGCAATGACAAGGAAAAAGGAGGAGTTTAAGGCTTTGTAACCATTCTGTTTTACAATTATTTATTAAAATGCGATCATCTTCATCATTTTATGAACTCTTCCACTGATTGTTTACACAACTCTTTGGAAGAGTCTCAGATTTGCTAGCATTTGCTTTTGAGAAGCTGTGGAGAACAAGTAGGGTACCGGACAACAGTAAAAAAAACAAATTAAAAGGGTTCTTTAAAAAGTGCCTTCAAAAGGAGGCTGGGTCAAAAGGGGACAAGAAAATTCAACTCCTGTTTTCCAACTCTCAGTTTCTAGAAAACACAGGACCAGATAATTCAGTGCACTGTTTGTAAGCATTTGGATGATAACAAGAAGATGCGTAGCAGACTGCATAGATTTGACACAAGAAATCATATGAAGCCAAACTATTTTTAGGAAGCAATCCTTCTGCTGTAATCAACAGTGGGTAGGTGTAAGAGAGGTATTCCAGTCTTCAGAGCACCGATGATGAAGAAACAGGAAGGACTGATTTGAAAGGTGGAACAGAACAGTAGAGAAGTGAACAGAGATCTCAGTACCATGGCGTAAAATTGAAAGAATAGGGTAAAAATATGGTTTAATAAATAAATAAATACATTACAGGGAGGAGATGCTTGATGAGAATCAAATAGCTTCTAATATGGAAAAAAAATATGGAACAAAGGAAGATAGCAATTTGTTTTTCGTGTTTACAGTGAAGAGGATTCACTGTAAGAAATTACAAGCTTGAACTGCAATAAGAAAAGCTAATTTCAAGTATCGAAAACATGTTCTGAAGTTAGACTAGTAAAGTCACTGACATAGATTAAGTGTGCTGTTTCCATCACTGACAGACTCTGCTGACGGTCTAAGAATGGATTTAGATCGACATATGCCAGGATTGACAAGTTAAAGCTGGTTTTGCTTGTGGGCTGTGGGATGGCTAGATGTTCCCTTGAGATTTTCTGCAGCAAGAGATTTTTACATCATTTTTATCGTCTGCAAGGGCCACATCATTATGTTTGCATGAGCTTCAGGCATTAGCGCCTTTCATTTGCAGGAGGGGGGTCAAGCACTTCTGAGACAGTTTTCCAGGATGCAAGTTTCTTTGCGTTTCTTAATTTCTCAGCACGTTTTATAGAGATGTACATATAAACTTTTCTTCCAGTGCAGCTCTTGGCATCCCAATTACAGATTCCAGCACCCTTTTAGGTATTGTGTGTATTCTCCCCCTTTTTCCACTCTCCGTCATTTTCCACCTGTGTTTATGACCATCACTGAATTTTGGATGTGTTCATTGCCAGTGACAGCGTTTCCTCTGCCATCCCTCCGTAGACTCTACCAAGTAGCCAGCTTTAATATTTGAAAAATCTGTCTTTCTGAACACTAGGAAAATATATGTTGAATTTTGAAATTGAGAAGGCTTTTTTTTTTTTCTGAAAACAGTGATATTTCTTAACAGTACAGTGATGAAAAGAGCTGTAACTCAGAGTTTCTATGATCTTAGCTTAACATTATGTAACTGTTACCATTAGTATGATTCTCTTATCGCTGCTGCAGAACTGGATTCCCTGTCATATCTTGAAGATACCATTGTTAGGCACATCAGTATGTAACAACGCAGATACACTTTCTGTGAGAATTGTACTTAGATTTGAAGTACAGGAAAGAATAACTCTCGAGATACAAAAATTAGATCTTCGAAGAGCAGTGAAATTATTAAGAAGGAAACTTAGTTCTGCATCTTCAAAATGCCATTTCAATCAAGCATCATTTTTTGTGCGCTCGAAGCAATGGAATTACCAACTTGTCTTAAGTCCTTGATCAGAATGAGGCTCTTAAACCAATTATGTGAAGATCAGAGTGCTTAAAATTATAAGGAATACGTTTAGAATTATTAAAGGCTTCAAATAGCTTGGTTCAGGCAAAATTACATATAATTGATCATTTAGTATGGGTTGTCAGGAGAAGCTGCAGTCATAGGTGTGGAAGAGCGCTTTCTAGATAAATCACAACTAAACTCTTGTAAAACCCAAACTGCATCAGAGCTTCCTCTTCTTAATGAAAATAAATCCCAACCACTTTTATTCCTGTTGTTCAAAAAGAGCTACAGAAAGATGCACCGTAAGTTAAAATACTGAGTAACATTGCCCTAGCTGATGAAGTGGAATGCAGATGAAGGAAAACCAAAATGCATTACCTGGATTGCTAAGTGAATGAAGGCACAAAATAAGGGGTTGGGATCTTCTTTAAAAGTTTTAATAGTTAAAAAAAAAATAAAAATGAGAGAGGATAAATCATCAGTAAAGAAATCTTTGCCAAAGGGCAAAGGGACTTACAGGAAATTAACATTAAGATTGACAAACACAAACTGGATTGTCAGAAAATGATTGTATAAGGGACTGACTCTATAACCCCCCTGAGAACAACACGACTGTTCTATTGATTCTTATTTAGCCTCTGTCCAGTCCTTCCATCCCTTTGCTTTGAACTTTATGATTCATTTATTAGAAAATATAATATTATTCTGGGTAGGTTGCATTTTCAGTCAGGCACATAAATCCTAATCTTGCAGTCATCCTCTGCATCTCTCCGGTGATAAGATTCTCATTGATTTCAGTGACACAGGTTTAGGAACGGAATGGTACATATTACGTAGTGTAAGATGCAGGCTAGTGGGTTCAATTCATACTTCACTACCAAATGAGGACCAAACTAAAAACTTGGTAGGCTCAATGACAATCTCATATTCACACCTCTTCACATAAAGTGGCATTATTTCTGCTTCTCAAATCTAAGAATGTCTTGATGGACGTGGAGATAGTTTAAGGTCTGAAAGTAGCTGCTTTTGCTGTGAAGGATACTTTCAGATGCTGTGCTAGGAGTGCTGTATTCCAGTCATGTAGCTCTAGCAGCCTTGACTTGCACCCAGTCTCTTATGCATCCCATCAGCAGGACCAGGAGGGAACAAGGATATGCAGGGATGAGACAGTTCCTGGATTAAGGCAAAGTCAGGGAGGCTTGCCAATTGCTCTTGCAGACAAAAAAAGGCCTGAAGAAAAACAATTTGCTGCTAGTTAAAAATGTTAATTGCTAATCTGGATAGTGAGAAACAAGAAGATAAATGTTGGTAAGGATGTCTCTTTCTTCCCTTAGCTAGGCTCCACCTCATTGGAAACAAAGCCCCAACCAGCAGAATGGGAACGGAGAAGAGTGCAGTCAGTCGTGGTTTCTCCCCGTGGTTCCTTCTCACACAGCCCCTCTGATCCAGCATGGCTTCTCCAAGGGCCACTGTTCTCCAGCAAGAGGTACTCTACCACGGGTTCTCCACAGGCCACAGTTCCTCTGGATATGACCTCTGTCATGTGTGGGCTGCAGTGAGCATCGCAGTGCCTCCTCCTTTCTCTGCCCTCGCATTCACTCCTTCCTCACCGTTTCCACCTTTCGGTTCTATCCATGTGCTCCCAGAGACCCCATCAGCGGCAGCTGGCTCGGTGCTGGGATGTGGGAAGGCCCAGACAGCCGGATACTGCTGCAGAACCCGTCGCTGATGTGAAGAGAGGAGCTCTGCTCAGACCTGGGAATAGAACAAATGCAGGGAAGTCGGTGAAATAGGTCAACGGGCTGCAGATTGAACTCGAAATTAAACGTGGAGTGAGCCACACCGCGGAGGGAACTGAACTAGTTATGCAGCTGGCTCATTTCTAAATTAGGTTTAACTAGTTCGGGAAGAAAAAGAGACGTCCCTGCAGTCCGAGTCCAGGCACGGCTGCAGCGCGAAGTGCACGCGGGCAGGGAAGAACGCACAGAGCGTAACAACACGGATAGCGCAGGCAGCGCTCAGAGGCGACCGGCGAGCCCCAACCACGGGAAGCGTTATCCCGAAATCACTTAAAGTTTATCATGACCGTAAGCCGTCCAAGGATTGTCGCAGCCTTAGTTTGGGAAGCGAGGTACCGGCACAGCTGGAGAAAACTTCCAGCGGCGCAAACCCGAAGACGCCAACGGAGGGCAGGGGGCCGGGCCCCCCTCGGGACCCCCTTCGGAGCCGGGAGCCGCGCGAGCCACCCCGCTCAGCGCCCTCCCGCAGACCGTTAGCCCGGGCGCGGGGCGGGGAGGCGCGGGGCGGGGCCGGAGGCGGGCGGAGCGCGCGGCGCGGCGCGGGGCTGCAGACGGCGGCGCGGGCAGGGAGCGGGGCCGCCTTTCCGGCCGCGGCGAGGAGCGCAGTTGCGGGGCTTGCGGCAAGGTGACGGGTTGGGCGGCTGCCGCGGCTTTTTCCTCCGTCTCTCCCGCTTCCCGGCGGATTCGGGCTCCCTTTCCCCGCTTCCCCTCCCGCATCTCTGCCCCTCTCGGGTGGGCGCGCCGTTCCCGTCCCCGCCGGCCGCCCGCGGGTGGCTAACCGACCGCTCCTCGTGTCTCCTCTCGCCCAGATGCTGAAGGCGGCGGCCCTGGTGTGCGTGTACGCGGCAGCCTGGTGCAGCCCGGCGCTGGCGGCGGCGGCGGCGGCCGGGGGCAGAGCGGACAACGGCAATTTTCTGGACGATAAACAATGGCTCACCACCATCTCCCAGTACGACAAGGAGGTCGGGCAGTGGAACAAATTCCGAGACGTAAGTTCAGCTTTTGCCGCGGCCCGAGGGCAGCGGCGAGGGCTGGGGACTACCGCAACTTTCTCCCCCCCAATCCCCAGTGTTATTTTTGCGCCTTTAATTCCCGGTGATGCCCGGGCACGGGGGCGGTAGGGGGGAGCCCTGGCCGCCCAGCTCCGGGTGCGCCGCCGCCGCTGCTGAGCGGGATGCGCCGTGCGGGGCGCCGCGCTCGGAACGGGGCTGCGTGCTGCGTTCGCCGCGTCCCCCGCCCCGTACCGGGGCTGCTCTCGGGCGGGGCTGACGCGAGCCCCCTCCCGCCGCCGCCGTGCTCACCTTGCAGAGGAGCGCAGAGCCCCGCGGGCGACCCGGGGTGTGAGAACAGCGAGGTCCGCCGAGCGACTTGCTAGAATCGGTGTCCGGAGCGTGCTGCTCCTCGGTTACGAAAGCCGGAGCCTGCAGGTGGCCGTCGTCCTTGAGGATGCCTCGCTGCCGTGCGTGGTTTGTGGCGAGTTTAGTAAAATGGAACGGATTTTCAAAAGTCCGTCTCTCTTTTTATGGTGAAAAACGTTTTCCCTTCATCTTCCAGTGCTCTGTGCTCATGTTTGCTTTGGATATCCGAATTCCAAGTGGGAGAAGTAATTTTCTTCTCAGCCTCCCTGTGTTGCTTGCTGGGGTCCTTGGGTTTGGTTTGCAACTTCTGTGTCAACAGGTTTCTCGTGCTGCGGCTGCCGGTGGCCGCGGTTTGCTGCAGGGAACTGAAGGCAGCAGCTCTGAGAAGCAGCAGCTCTGCTCATAGGGCTGGAACACGCCTGTAGTGTTCTTGTTCGACAGCTCTGTACGTATCCCACGTGTGGGATGCAAACTTGGCTATTTGTGTTAAGTAACAGGGGAAGAAGAGTTACTACTGGAGTTGTGGGAGAGCTATTTCCACAATAGTTCCCATTAAACAGAATAATTTCAGTGTTTGGGAACACTCGCGCTAGCGGTCTGATATTTCTGTTTACATCAAGTAGTTTAAAATCTGGAAATGCGTGTGAAAAATGGTCAGCACAGCATGCTTTGCGACCATCGTTTTTGGAAAGAATGAAAAACCACGCAGCATGCAGTGCTGCGTAAATATTTTAGGGCGAAACGGTGCTGCTGAAAAGCACCAAAATCAGTGCCTGAGTTACGTTTTATAATTGGGTGAAGTCATTGATGCAAGGACTGCCCTGCAAGGCTGAAGAGGCTAAGTGCTGTCTAATGCCTGTCTCCCGGGTGCCCGCTGAGGTACACTGTAATGCTGGATATTAGCCAGATAATTTATTCTGTGACAAGTAGGTGTCCCCAAGGGCTTTGGGAGTGACTGCTCTGAGGAAGTGCTGCATACTGATTCTTCGGAAGCCCCTTACAAATAGGCAGCCTTCTTTATTTCTGCGCTGTGGAAGTTTTGTTAGGCTGGTACTTCAGAGAGGAGTCAGCTGGTACTTAGCAGGATGCTTATAACCTATTGATTACTACTTCAGGTGGAATGTTTACAGATGATCCTCATACTGCACGAGGTGATCCCTTTTACAGCATGGATGATTTTCAGTAATTCATAGCTGTAAAAAAAAAAAAAATAAATGAAAATTATGAGTTAGTCTGCCTGCACAAGCATTTGCTCAAGAAAAAATATATTTCAAGATGTACCGATCGGTTATCATCTGTAGATATAAGATGGTGGAGACATTTTCTTAGTTCTCTGGTTTAGGCAGTTAGTAAATCTTCATGTATGGCTGTAATTTGTTGGTTTTGAATTTGTGGGGAAGTAGCTGCCCTGCGGAGTTACAACAAATGTACGCCAGGCCCGTGTCCGTAATTTATTCTCTATTCGCTGAACAGGGTGTTTTGTGGGCTGTAAGTACCCTGCAGATGCATGGGTGAGATGGAATTCTGGTGTGAAAAGAAGTGTTTAACGGCTTAACTTCAGGCTTAGCTGACAAGACTGATTAATGTGGAAGATAATGACCCTGACTTCTGGCTCATTGGCTCAGTTTCTTAAGAGTTTTAGGTCACAATGAGAAAGAGTATAGTTATTGAGAAAGGGAATCCCTACAAAAACGAAGCCGCAGTACGATTACTTACTATGTTAAATTTAGAGCAAAACTAGAACCCAACAGCCTTAACATTCCATAAAATGTCAGACTTGCCAGCAAAGTTTGATATTAACGTGATGCTAATATTAGCAGACATCTCTTTAGTACTTTGTTCAGGCGAAACTGTAATGACTCTTCAGCTCTCTTGAAAGATCTTGATCATTCTGACAAATCTTTTGAAAATAATAAAACAAATCTAGGCAAGGATTTTGCTTTGCTTTGCCTAAATATGGATCAGTGGGAAGCTGGGCGCTCGTTAGAGACTGTCTTTTCACATCTTGAAACTTGGTGGGATGAGCGCAGGGGAAGTGTATTTGTCATGTCAGAGATCGGCTCCTCCAACTTGTACCTGTGAAGTTAACGCTTTGAGTCACGAGTCCTGCTCATTTTTTGCCCATAGGTGCTCGGTAGGAAGATATTTTAACCTTATCTGCTTGTTCCTGTAGTGCAGTTGCTGAGTACCAGCAGCTCTTCAGTCTGTCACTAAGCGAATGAGTCTCGGAGTTGATGGATTTTCTTTATGACTTTTCAAACTGCCTGGTAAGGCTGCTTCAGCTGCCAGTAGGATGTCCTGCCTACCCCCTGTGCTTACGTTCCTTGTTGGCATTTGAGGTTCTGTAATAAATGCTGTGGTGAGGGAGTCTGATTTCACGTTTTGTTGTATAGGTAGCTCTTTGTGGCCTCATCTACGAAGGCTGGACTAGATACATGTTTTATATTGAAAAACTGGGTTTTCTAAAGTGAAGATTATTTCTCCTATTTTAATACAACTGGTTAATGGTGTCACGTGGTCCTGTTCAGGTGTTCTTTAGGAAGATTGCATAATAAATGTCTTACGTACTAGACTTCACTTGCTGCTGAAGAGCACCATTCTTTTTTATTTGGCTGCCTTATTAGTGATTTATTTGCTCGTTTCAGTGGGGTGCTAATTTAAACTTGTGAATCAAAGATGTGCGAGGTATTTTGAAAGGCAACGTGCTTGTCAGATATAAACTCCAAAGAAATTCACCATGGCACAGTTATACAGGGTGACTGGTACATGCTTTGTTATTTATTTGACCGGTGAAAACTGGAAGCTTATTTACATTTATCCCTTAAAGAAGTTGCTTTTCTTTCATAGTAATGAATGAAGAAAAGCTTATTAGGAAATTTGTGATTCTTGTGGCTATGGTAAAATACTTTTCTCCTGTGTAATCCAGAGGTCTCCAATCTGGCTGAATGCTGGCCCTCAGTTTTCTTCTATTGTGGACAGTATTTACTGTTACTTACATATTACTTAGTGATTCTTTATATATTACTTGTGAGTATTGACTTCGTTTGCTGCCTATGCTTTCGTCCAGGTCTGTTTTTGTCTATGTTTTTTTTTCTTTTCTTATTGATCTTTTCCAGTCTGTCTATGAGAAGGTAATGGTCTGTTAGCTTTTGATGCCATATGCAATTAGTGCAAAAGAGGTTATGTCATGATATAAAAATGTTAGTTTCTTTAAAGGTACAAACTGCTGAACTTAGTTGTGAAACTAGCTGCTCTACAATCTGTTCACTGATAGGCTTTTTTCTTTTTCAGTTGAAAGTAATTTCAGAAGGTAGTTTTGCTGCTTCTGTCATCTAGAACTAAAATATAGCCAGCAGCCAGTTGTAGTCTTAAAATGAGCTTTTGCTTGAAAATAAAAGGATTGCAGATAGTATGTAGGTCGCTAATATGCGCATGATAGAAGGGAAAGGAATGAAAAAGGGATCATGAAAGTATTTTAGAGAAGGTCAAACTTCTGGATTGGGTAGTACAGCACTCATCAGTCTTTCATTGCTAATGTTAACTTGTTCATTTGCTGTCGAAATTGGCTCATGAAGATATCTCTTCCTCGGTGAGTGGGGGGGTGAGCTCTTATGCTACATCTTATGCTGTATATTTATAGAAACATGGAAAAGAAATGAGTTGCAGAGCAGGAATGATCAACTTCTTCATTAAGTTGCCATACAGTTAAGTTAGAGGAAGGGTAAAAGGATGAGCAGTAAAACACCTCAAATTCCTTTTCGTGTAAGGGCACTGAGTCTTAGTACCTATTTTTTTCTCCACAAGCCTGTTGGTTATTGGACAAGTGGTTATCAGCTATTCTGGTGTCCATCTTTGCGGGGTTTTGTTTTTTTATTTGCTTTCTCCTTGAATTGACTTGGCATAATCTTTTGTTTTTATTAATGTGGCAAAGGATGAAAGACTTCAGAAACTTTAGAGATCTTATAGGAAGAATGAGTGTTTTATACCTTCAGCAATGATAGCTACTTTTGAAATGGAACTCATAGAGTAAGAATTGACCCTGGTTTTCTTAACAGTGAAATACAGGAGCATATTAGGAATTTGCATGAAAGTTAAGGGAGTTTTAAGAAGCTTTATAATTGTTGACCAGTTGTTGACCAAACATGGGAAGTTGTATTGGAAATCTTAACTTATGGTTCCTTAAGTATTTTGGATAAAGGCTTCTAATTTTTCTGTGTGTAGCTTTTGCTTGATTTCAAATACAGGTTGCTTTTTGTTTGGTTGGTTGGTTTTTTCCTCTAGTCTTTTTTTTGCTGCTTGTTTCTGGTAATGAGTGTTGTTTATCTGTAGAGTTTGCTGGCCTCAAACTATTGTTAATACTGAGCTCTGTCTCTTGGAAGGCATTAGCTTGGAAGCTCTTTATATAGCTAACATGAGGAGTTAAGTAAACTGTAATGTGCTTTTCCTTAGACTGGCCTCATAATCTAAGGGAAAGCTGATAACGTCGTTTCATCTTATCTTTATCTCCTTTCTGTGAAGAATAATCTTTATTTTATTTGCGATAGGTTGTTTAGTGGGTATGGATACCCACTGTTCTCTTGTCTTACCGTTAAATCTTATTGGGATTGACTGTATCCATCTGTGCTTATTAT